ACGTGGATGTGGTGCAAGTTTAGAGCATTTAAAAGGAACTGTTGACAGAAATTATATATGTAGACCTTTTTAGGAATGTTTTTAGGATAAAGATCAAAAATGTAATTATTAATATTTTTATCATTAATTTGTATAAAAATAAAAATTAATTTAAATTTTATCAATTATATATTTAATTAAATTATTTTACATGACATTAATATTAAAAATAAAATTTATTTTTATAATTTTAATACATACTAATAATAAAAAAATTATAATAACAACAAACTTAACCTTTACCCTCTACAATAACCTCTTTTTATGGCCATCTAAGGAAATTCGTGTTGTTAATTGTGAAAATGAAAGCCGGAAAGCATTAAAGATCCCAACGGTTAGCAAACATGAAATGGAAAGGAAGAAACTAGCAATAAATTGAACCACCAACCAGCTAACTCCGCCCACTTCCTTGCAGCCATTTGTCATAATTTCACACGCACAATTTTCCCTATATAAGCCCTCCAAACTCTTTCCTTCACTCCATAACTCAGCCACTGACTTCTCCTGCTCCTAGTTAAAAAGTGTTTAACAAGTTTCTATTCCCAGTAGCTGCCATGGCTTCCTCTCTGACCCTCAAGCTTGCATGCGCAGTGCTTCTGTGCATGATCCTGAGCGCACCCGTGGCACAGGCAATAACTTGTGGTCAGGTTTCATCCTCCCTTGCCCAGTGCATAAACTACATTAAAGGCTCCGGATCTCTGCCTTCAGGTTGCTGTGCTGGCATCAAGTCTCTCAACTCAGCTGCCAAGACCACCGCCGACCGTCAAACTGTATGCAACTGCTTGAAGACCCTCGCCAGTGCCGTCTCTGGTATCAACTACAGCATTGCTGCTGGGCTTCCTGGCAAGTGTGGAGTCAGCATTCCTTACTCTATCAGCCCCAACACTGACTGCTCAAAGTGAGTGTATATAAGTATACATATTTTAAGAGAATGGTTTTTTTAAACTATGTCCTTAAAAGATTTTTTTTTTTTAACATTAATTGTTATTAAAAAATAAAAATTAATTTTTAGTTAATAAATTACCTAATTAAAATTATTTATGTGATATTAATGATAAAATTAATATAA